CTCTGTCCCTATTTGGTCAAATTTTAAAAAATGAATCAATAAAGTTAAATAAAATAATTCTTTTTTTTTTTTTTGGAGAGGTTTTTGCTATAGGGCACATGCACTCACTGGAAAGACAGAGAGAGACAGAGACAGAAAGCGAGAAATTATCCCCCGGAGGGGATGGCCATGCTGCAATCCGGTCTCCTCCATTCTCCTCTCAGGATTTTGAGCACGCACGCACACACACACGCCTGGCGTGTTTCAACCCTCTGGGTCCGGGACTCGAACTGTGGTTGTCCATCTGGGAGTCCAGCCATCTGCTGGTCCCAGGAAAATCCATTTTGGATGCTACCCCATGAGGAGAATGGAGGAGAAGGGATTGCAGCGTGGCCATCCACCAGAGGGGGTGACCTCTCATTTTCCCTTTCACTGTCTCTCTGTCTCTCACTGTCTCTGTGTCTCTGGTGACTACACGCACTGCATAGCATAAATCAAAAAAAAAAAGAAAGAAAGAAAGAAAGAAATACAGTTAAAAAAATTAAAATAAATAAATAAATAAAAGTTCCACGCAGCCAGCCCTTCTCATTGTGTCTGTCTCTGTGTCCCCAACCCCTTCCTCGACACCACGCAGAATGGAGAAGTGGCAGCCTGATCCACCCCTCCCTGCATCCGGAGATCCTGGGCTTGTCTGGACAGGTCCCGTACGCCTTGCCAAAGCTCTCAAGGGCCTTGTGGCCGGGTGCCAGGTATTGTGAAGAAAAGAGTGATTTGAGATTTCTGTTGCTGGAACTTGCCCCCCCTCCCACCCCACCCCTGCAACACACACTTGTCACATTCACGTGTCCCACTACGACCTCAGCATCTGCCCCTAAACTTCGGGTTTTGAGGGATCCATAGGAGTTCTCCCGGAATCAATGAAGGGGGTTGGAAGGGTACTTCCAGGAAAAGGGGTTGGAGAAAGTTGGCAAAGTCTGGGTTCAGCACAGATGAGAGAACAGGCAGAGGGGGGCCTGCTGGTGTGGTGTGGCCACCCCCCCTGGGGGGTGATTTCTCGCTTTCTGTCTCTCTGTCTCTGTCTCTCTGTCTCTGTCTCTCTGTCTCTGTCTCTCTGTCTTTCAGGTAAGCGCTCGCGCCCTATAGCAAAAATCTCTCCAAAAAAAAAAAAAGAATTATTTACTTTACTTTATTCATTCGTTCATTTTTAATTTGGTCAGAGAGAGAGAGAGAGGGAAAATGAGAAAGCAAGCCACCAGGCCCGGGACTACGAACCGTGGTCGGCCATGTGGGACGCCAGACAGACAGAGAGAGACAGAGAGACAGAAAGCAAGAAATCCCCCCCCAGGGGGGATGGCCACACCACAAT